ATTTTTTTCGGAAATTATGTGAAATTTCATGCCCCTTATGATATATACATCTTATCTTAATGCCACTAGCAAATTTTATCAGTACAGCATTTCTGGCGGAAGTTTTTATAAAAAAAAAAAAAAATCGAAGGTTTTCGTTAATTTTTCCTTGACATATTTTGATCAGTTCTTTCCGGAATTTTTTTTTCAGAAATTATTGAAAGCGAAATTGCGGCAGACACTGGAACACGGTCGAAATGCTCCACCAAAGAAAGTACCAATAACGCGTTTCCTCTACCCATATTTTCGAGATTCTCATGACATGGTGAGGTTTATATTTTAAAAAAAAAAATCTTTTTCCTTTCGGTTGGGGCCTGCATGGCTTCGAGTAGCACGGAGGGAATATACGTTTTCTGTTTAGCATTTATCTAAATTCATTCAAATTTTCTTTGATTCAGAACTTGTGACATTTACATAAATACATGAGTAAGCTGTTTATCTCTCCTAAATACGTAGTCGACAACCTTTCAAGTTCTCATGACCAATACTGCGTTGGCTGCTGGTAGCATTCATAGGTGAAGCCGCGCGGGGAACGGGGAGGGGAGGGATGGGTTTTTCGCCCTCCAGCGACACAAGTAGCAGTGCTAAAACTATGGAAAATTCTTTTCCGCATCCCCGGTCGCCCCCTTCCCCTCCTGTCCGGCCCCCTGGTCAACGCCGCACCCCAGTAGGCCCACTTTCTCCCTTCACCCACCCCTCCCTGACCCGCTCCTCTTCTTTCCCAGAAGGGTCACTTATGGCCCTATCAATACTTATTTCGTCTTCCAGCGAAGCCATCTCAGTGATTCTCGTGGTAGAAACATTTGTCAAAAACGTTACTGAGATCTCCTTGGTATGCCCGAGCATCGCTGCACTGTCTTGAAAATCGCTATTTTACCGACTAGAACAAGCTTATGTTATAACAAATGCAGCAAGACATATATGAATTTCGTGTCAGTTGATTGATCCGATCAAACCAGTTGAGGACTGATTTTTTATTTTGGCGTTTTAGATATCACCTTTGTGTTCATTTACAGGAACCGCCAAGGAACAAGGAGACAGAACTGATGCTGTATCGAAGAGAATACAACCCCTTGTTACGGGAAGAAAAGAAATGTACGCTGCTTTTAATCCTTTTTTTCCCAAGTTTCTTAATTTTTTACTTATGCACTCAGCTATTTTTTCCATAATTTGGAGCTTGTGCCATCCACGTCCACCATGTCCTGTTTATTGGAATTATTAGACCCGCAGAGTTAGCCAATAGCCATTGTAACGCTTTTCTAACATTAGAATAAATTATGACGACTTATAAATAACAGTTAAAAGTTAGCTAGGCTAGTTATTGGTAAAATTATGACGACTAATATAATAGTCTAGAATAAACAAGATGATAAGTAACAGCCATTAGAAAGCCGAGTCATAATTGAACGGTCCAAGCGGAGCGACCGGACTGGGTTAAATTGAAAAGTAAAAGCAGAAATAAATAGTAAGAGAAGGGAATGTGCTGCAGCCTGTTGGCGCCAGCCATCCGCCGCTTCATTGCTCTTTGAAAAACTGCCAATTTTCGTCCTTCAGCAAACGTGATAGTGTAGAATAATGTAGTAAAATGCGGAAACTCATAGATATCACATATTCGTCTGTTGTAAGTTATCGCAGAAATGATGCAAGAATGAAAAAAGCCTGTACGTTTTTTCGCTTTTGATCATAGCAGATGTGAAATTGTTCGATAATTTTTGAGATTAACCAATCTAAATTTTTCAACAGCGGTTTGGATATATTAATGGAGTAAGTATTTCAGGGACAGTCAAGGAATGCCAAATCTTGCGAAGTGCTGTCCGAAAATCACTTATTGAAGCGCGTATTCAACCGTTTCTTCGAAGGTAATGTAATTTTTTTGCGTCCAGTCGAAATGCTTGTTATTTGATGAAGCAGCAGCATGAATGCCTAGTTGATGTGGAGGTAAACAAAGAGCGTTACAGTGTGTAAAAATTGAAAGATTTACAAAATTTTATGCTCAATATGAGAGAGAGGGGGAAGATAGTGGTGCTTAGGGATGTGTATGCAGTGGATATATCTTAAAATAACTTTTCTTTTCACTGACATATCACTTTTGTAACTAATTTTTAACAAGAGGTTTCTTATACTTAGCGGCTGTTTTATTATCGCGTTTTTCGCCATTTGTGCTGATGGCAACTTCTCTGTTCTTACTGTTTTCCATTTTGGCCCTCTCTTATCCATATACATTCATATAGCCATTTTAAGCGAATCCATTTTCTGCATTTTTGGTCTTTTTTTCGCTATGTTTCCTTTAACTGATATGTACTACGTATGACTTATCATTGCATGAAGACTGAATTTAAAACCATTGGATTGGACATTTCTGTTTCTTGTCTGTTTTTATCTTAAATAATTTCTGTACCACACTAAACTACTTAAATTATTTTATTGCTACAGTCGTCGTACTGACGAGATCCAGTTGTGATAATGGTAAGAAATGTATAGGACTCTTAAGGATCGAAACATTTCTTACCTATTATAAATATTTCCATACCTCTCCCCTTCATAGTTCGCCTTTTTCTTCGTTTTTCTTCCTTCCTTCATCTTTTCTACTTCATCATTTTCTCTTTATCCTTTAACATCTTCATGAAGTTTCCACCTTCTGCTTACGTGGTTCTCGAAATCGCTTTCCCGCCAAGAAATCTTCTATCTGCTCGTACGTGAGAACCACGTGGGTGTAAGCTTTAATTTTAAGATTAATGACCCGCAAATAATTTGCAAATACCATTTTATAATTTGCTTTACCCGTTTTTGTCTCATTCTTGCCACGTGTCTGTTTTCGTTTTTCGGAATCTTCACAGTAATTATAATGTTCTTTTCTTTTGTTTTTTGGTAAACCTCCACTTCATAGCAGCACCTGTTTTGAGTCGCATTTTGTGGGACAAAAATAGCGCCAGTTTTTTCTTTAAGGCGTGAATTGCTCGCCAAAAAAATCCAGGCAAGTGGACAGGAAACAGCAGCACAGCAAGTAGCGGAATGGAGAAGTTCGCTGGCTGAGCAGGAACGCCTTATCAATTATCACAAGTAATATTTTCGCATGATTTTTCTAAATTTGCTAAAAGAATTTGTTGCTGACTGGCTTTTTCATCTTTTTTGGGCATTTATACAAGCAAGCGAGCGAGTGCCGACGATCGCTATGTTGTGTATTTTACATTCACGTCTTTTACACTCCAAAAAATAACGAGCCAGAAGGCTGAATTTGCAAAAATGTAGTTTAAAAAATGTCGGTACAGAGGCCCAGCACCCACACATACACACACAAACACAGACAACCTTTCGTCAGTGTGCGTTTTCCGCATTGCATTGTAAAAAATGCATGAAAACCTTGGGAAGATCAGGATTCAATAGTGCCAGCTTCCTCTGTGGACAGGCTTTCATACTTTAGCCTTAAACAGCAGGGTTTAATTTCGCACATTTTGCGTTTTCGCATATTTGCAAATCTGCTTCACATGGACAGAATGATGCAGCAGGAAAATAAACTGAAACCGCCGTAAAATAAGGGGAACTGATCGCTGTAAAATTAGGTTGATCTGGAAATAAAATTAGAGGAACTGAAATCGCTGCTAGTGGGTTCATAGACGGATCCAGGGTGGTTTCCTCGAGAGGGGAGAGGAGAGGGGGAGGGGGTGGCAATTTTTCACCTCCCTTTCTTCCTTCA